TGCCCAAATAAATCTGTTAGTCTTTAAGGTGCCACCAGACTCCTTGTTGTTTTTGTAATCAAGCAAAACTCCCATTTACATAAGATGGAATTCTGCTCTATTAAGGGCCTCTGAATTTGACCCATGTTCAGGAGTCCTTCTGGGTGTACTTAAGACAGCTAGACTTGTGCTACTTTTTTTTTTTCTGTTGGGCATTATTTTTACATAAATGGGGCCTGAGCCTCAGCTGGTGTAAATTGGTGTTGGTATAGTTTCATTGACTTCAAAAATGCTATGCTGATTTCCACCAGATGAAGATCTGCCCCTAGATTCCTGAGAAAATATGCAGAAAACTCCCTAATCTACACAGTCCACTGATTCTTCTTTGCCTTCAGATTGCCATTGCCCCAGGCTATTATATCAATCTAATTTTTTTCCCTGTGACTCGTTTACATCTTAGATATTTAGAACAAAGAGAACTATTGGTGTGATCTGAGTTTAAAGCAGTAAGTCATGGATGTCATGCTTGTACTTGTGCTGTAGTTAACATTCGGCTTCTTAGAAATAAAGCAATCTCTAATGTGTTTCAACACCACAGAGTGGTGGGATTTTTTTTTGTAGACATAATTGTAATATGCAAATACTGATAATTCCTACAGAGTATACAGAAATGTGTGTATACACACATTTCACCTAATCAACTGCTTCATTTTCAAAACATATACTTCATTTAATAAATAAAGTCCTATTAACATGGTGCTACTGATCAGATCCAAGGATCAGGGACTCCAGTGTCATCTGAGCCTCTCTGTAGGCTGCTACCTCCACCAACCCTTATAAGTGAACATTCTAATTAGACTCAGACCTTATAATTACATTTATATTATTAATTTTATAAGGCAAATGTTCTTCTATCTGACTTTTATCTCCAAGCAATAAACTGAATGGTTACTTCAGACTATCGCACTTGCATAGTGACTTATTGTGGGAATCTTACATGTGAACATCTAAGGACTTTTGAGATTGGCACATAAGAGATCCTAGGGACAGAATAAGATCGGATTCTCCCTTTCAGGTTTGTTCCCTCTGTTGAGTTAGCAACTGTACCCCACAAAGCTTTTCGTTTTTCAAGTCCTTTGTAAATCTATTTATAGTGGTAGTTCTTATTGGCTCCTTCTGTAGTCTAGTCAAATATTAAGTGCCTTATGTGTAAAGAAATTTCTAAATTCCTTAGGGCCCAACCCTTCTTTAGCTTCTGTTCATGTCCCCTTGTTCTTGTATTTGACCCTAGTCTTCTGACATCTCTCCTCTCTATTCCCTTCAGAATAGCGTATGATATAATGAGGTCCACCCTTAGCTTCCCCTTTTTCAAAGAGCAGTGACCTAATTTCCCTGGTTTTCTATGTAACTTCCCCAGTCTTAAGTCATTGAGGTTGCCCTTTGCCATACATTATCTATCTCTATGATATTTTTCTCTTGCATGCTCTCTCTGTCTTTCTCTTTGTCTGTCTCTCTCTTAATAATAGGGCCTCCAGAATTGGGTATCATTTCCTCCTAATGCATCTTCATCTATTCTTTATTTCCCTTGACTAATGTCTGATTGATCTGTTTTTAGGGGTGGGCGTGTAAGGATGTTTCTGATTTTTTTATTTAGGGCCTGGACCCAGGGTAGCGTTCCTGCAGACTTGGGAGAAATTAAAACCTTTGCTAACATAGCACCAAAAAATCTGTATAAAATACAGTCAAAATGTAGCTATACATCTCTCTTTTTCTTGTTAATAATAGGACAGATCTGGGGTAAACTGGCAGTGGAGTCAATGGAGCTATGCAGAGCCAAGAAACTTGCCAAAAACTTTTTAATCTTTAGGACTGCATTCTAGTTCTCACTTGTTTTCCCTTTCTTTACAATTTACTCATTCCCCATCTCTCTTTCTTTCTATATTTCTTCTATTTGTGCCCAGGCTCTTTCTTTTTCTTTCTTTCTTTCTTTCTTTCTTTCTTTCTTACCCTGTACCACTGAAGTGATGAGAAAAATATTAGGTTTTAGATCTCTCTCTCTTCCAGATACTTTACTACATTTCGATTTCTTTATTCTTTTATATCCTCTGTTTTACTCTCTTCTCTTTCTCGGAATTTCCTTGTTCACATGACTTCTGTTTACAGTGTTTCCTCTGCTCTACCTCTCATCCTTTTTCTTGTCTCAGTTGACTCTGTGCCTGGTGTGGAGCTATCAGGGTGTAAAGACTTTCAGTTGTTACCCACCTTGGCTCTGACATGGCAGTTGGATCCATTCATTTATACTGTTGGGTCAAAAGGCCTTGATTCAACAAGGTACTTAAACATGTGCCTAACTTTAAGCACTTGAATAGCCCTATTAGCTTAAATAGTACTCATGCGAAAAGTTAGGCACATGCTTAAATACCTTGCTGAACAAGTCCCTCTGACTTGGCTCATTGCAGGCTAGGTGCCCTAATTCGAATTTGAACTGGTGACCCAAAGATCAAAACGCTCTATTACTTTGAGCTGTCCAGCCCTCTGACCCAATTCATTTTTCTCTGTATTGTTTATTCATGAAGGTAGGTATCTCCCAATACCTTCCTGAGCTCACTGTCAAAGCCCCTACCCTGTTCACATTAAAGTTCCTCTTAAAGAATGACTTCTATTATGCCGCTTAGAGTGAGCCAGCTTGACTTGGATATAATTTGCCTGTCATTGTTCCTATTCCCTTTCCCCAAACTTCATTCATCTTGTCCTTACACTGTGAAGTACTTGGAGCAGGGCCAGATTTAGGGGCAGGCGACCCAGGTGACTGCCTGGGGTGCCAGGCTTCGGGGGTGCCGGGCTCGGGGTGCTGTTTTTCTTGTTAGCAACAAAGGGAAAATAGAATGCTTGAAGTAAAATGTTTCAGGTATTTCGTCTGTGGATTCATTTTTCACTAACCCCCCTGGAATGTTCTGGATCTTTGTAGAATCTTATGGAACCTTCAAAAGGTATTCAAAAGTTTAACAAATGGAGAAGGAGTGCACCAAAGACGCTCTTCGCCATTTGGTCTAGGGCTCGTCATGACTTGGAGTGGAGAACACCCTTCCTGAGTGTTTGGAGAGAGAGAGCACTACTGTAAGTAATAATAAATATTATCGTTGGTAGTCCCTTTTTTATTAATCTGGCCATCCTGTGTTCCTCCATAATCTCCTTGTCCTGATGTTATTCTAAAATATACACAATGTATCGGACCACAAACATTCCTAAAAAGGGCAGTCTCTTCTGAATGCTGTTAGTGGAATGGCAGCTGACAAAAAATGTCAGACTTACCTTATTGGTCCTGTCCTCTTGAAACCTTACTATACGTTCCTCAATTCACGCTTTTATGGAGATGTGTTATCTCACTGAGAATTTCCTGTCAAACTATGTTAAGTAAATAAAAGAGAGGTGAAATATCAGCAACAAAGCTAACAAATGGAGCTGAATTCTCCCCTTGAAAGAACAGATCCAGCTGTTTACCATGCTAATCTAAAACGAAATGAAAATCTATGTTTTTTTCATCTTTTCAGATGGTGATCTTCAAATATAGGTAGCTAAGGTCTCTAACAACATAGACCTTTTCAACAAAAATTATGTGAAGATGTTTTTTGTGTAGCTGGAACAACGTAGTCAGTAAAGGAACTGATATATCTATTACCTGTTGTTCTGTGCCCATACATCATACAGGCCTTTGATTTTGTATTCACCTACCTAGCTATGGACATGGGTGTGTAAAAGAAAAGCAGTAAAATAATCTCCACTTTGTCCCTCTAGCTATGTTGGAGGTTGACTTTCCCTCATAATAGCAAGAGGTGTGATATACCCCCAATACAACAGAGTTGCCTCTTGGGGTCGATCCCACTCTTGTCTCAAATAGGCATGAATGGTAGTGAACACGGGATATTTTGTATCCACTGCATACCCCCCACCAACCTCTGAAGCAAGCTCTGTGGGCATTCTAGCTGGAAGAGCCACGGGGCATTTAATGTTCATTGGGTTCAAACAAGAAAGATTCTCATGTATAGATGACAAGGACCTTTCCTCTTTGTCTGATAGAGATAAAGTAAAGGACACAGTTTGGTTAGAACATAGGTTAGTTAAATTAAGAATAACCCTAAACAAGCACTTTTAAACTAAGACACAAACACAATTATATAACGCTAATCAAGGACAGGTAAACTCTCCTCCCCAGGCTATTTCCAACACTCTTCTGGAGAGAATGTAACCTTTGGCTGGGCTAGAGTTCTTCATCCTCCTTCTCCAGTGCCTAAACCCCCCCCAACTCCCACAGAAAAGCTGGAGACCCAGAGTTCAGTCTCTAAGGATTTTCAGTGAGGATTGCATAGGGTCAATCTCTCCACAGTCAAGTCCCGAAATTAAATAACTTTATAAAATCTTATGATAAAGAAACAAATAATAAGAATCTAATTTTTACAGCATGACATGGTTATTTTATAATCCACAGACGTTACCTTCACAGTTATACATACACATAAATAAAGAAAACACATTAAGATCTGAACAGTTGAGTCCCCACAGAAACTGAGAGTTCCCAAAAGCTTAGGTTTTGTTCACCTAAGTCTCAGGTAGAGTCTATGATCTATACAGTCTGCTGAGTGTAAAACAACATCTTCCCTCCACTTGCTTGTAGGGATAGTCAGACCCTTCCTCTGCTGAAATCACTGCTAGTCAGTCAGCGAACTGATTAATCACTCACTCAGTTAAGTGTATAGATTTAAAAACAACACCCCAGTTACAAGAAAATACAAAACTGAGAATAGCAAAATAGAAATAACTCTTTCCCCATTATCACATTTAAAGAAAAGTTGGTGAATCGCACTAGTCGAGACAATTTAACTAAAAGAGTTTGGCTAAAATCAAAACCACATTCAAAGCATAAAGTTAAAATAGAAGTTACTGTATTTTTCCCTCCCAACTGCCTCTTGCTCTAATTAGCATTGTGCATGCTTCCCTGTTAGAGGGTTAACAATATCACTAACCTGCAGCAAAATGCCTCAGGGTTAGGCAAAACAGCCTGCTTTCTGCTCCTGGGCTCAGCGTATCCCAACTCACACAGGGCACATGGCCTTCTGCAAAGCAGCTGCCCTGACTGCTTGCCCTCATGGAGTCTGACCGCAGCAACAAGGAGCCTATTAGAGAGACTCAAAACTACCACACCCAATATCCAGAAGCTTCTGGATGTGGTGGGCTAAATCTGCCTAGCAACAATGACCCAGATACAACTCACTCCAGCCCCATGGGTCTCTTAAAGAGATATCTGTCGAATAGGCACGTGGGTTACAAGAACATCCGCTCCACATAGGAATTCTAAAGCGCTAAGTTAAAACTCCCCCTGAGTTCAGTGAAGCCAGGATATCACCCAATGTCTTTAGGGTTCATCAGTTCTAGATTTTTGTTGTGTCTTTCACTGGCTTTCTGGGCTGAACTTTCTTAAGAGGGTTACTTCTTCTCTTTCACGCTCTCGGAACAAGGATTGCTGCTGTCCCAACCCCTTTAACATTTTCCATCTTTCTCGTCAATATGTTTGGGGTGTTAGACTGTTAAATGGAGTAAGAAAAAACAAACCACCAGATACACATTATGCTTGACTGCTGTTATCAGTATTTTTCTCCATTTGCAAGCCAGCCTGGTCACCGTGATTTTCTGCAGTCACTGCTCTTTTGTGGAAGTATAACCCACACATCTCCGGGGTGTGGTGTTCTGTCCCATCTAGTGGCACCGAGACAAGGCCGGCTCCAGGCACCAGCTTGCCAAGCAGGTGCTTGGGGCGGCCACTCCGGAGAGGGGCGGCACTTCCAGCTATTCGGCAACAATTCGGCGGACGGTCCCTCACTCCCGCTCGGAGCAAAGGACCTCCGGCCGAATTGCCACCGCAGATCGCAATCGCGGTGCGCCTGGAGCCGGCCCTGCACAGAGACCACTTAAAAAGCGAGAGTTAAATGAGTCTGCTCTCCAGCCTTAGCTAATAGCCAGTTGGCTTTTAGCTCATGCAGTAGAGGTCCCAGGTTCGATCCCATCTGCCGACAACCATGGTCTGTTGGTGTTACAGAAACATAAGGCAAAAACTCTCGAGAGTATTCTTGTCTGTTATTTGTACTGTGGTAGTGCCTAGAGGTCCCTCCCAGGGAACTATCCCCACTGTGTTAGGGGCTGTACACACAGCCTCAAGCAACTTAAAAACTAAGTAAGGACAGGCAAGTAATTTCCCTCTCCCCTTGAGCTTCAGTGAAGAACTACTACTACTGGCATCTACTAACGATATTCAAAAGAGACTCAGATATGTAACTGGTGTTAATCAGTGCAGCACCGCTTACATCAATGGAGCTACAATGATTTGTCATTTTACTCAGTAGTATCCATTTATTGCCTTTCTTGGAAAAACAGGAACAAGGAAATGAACAATTAAATACACCTGCTTGATCACCGTCCAATAGTGTATAGGGATTGTAAATGTATGGGGAAAATCCTGCCCCTTTCTGTGTCTACCTCTGTGCACTGCGCTCTGGATTTGTGGAGCTTGTCTTTTCCTTGTGTCTCCTGCACCCTCTCTGAGTCATGGAGATGAGCTCTGAGAAGGGGAGTTTGACGTAAGTCCAGGGAAAGGCCGAAGCAGAGCTAGGAGATTCATGACTCCATAAATCCACTGGCCATTCTCCCCGAGAGAAGGGAACTACAATGCTGTCACTGCAGCTCTGAGGTTGGAAGTAGTGACTGTGTAGAGTCTGTCACATCTCCCCAGCCTGAGGAGGAAGAAGATTCTATTTTCCCCATCACCCTGAACCAAGGATGGCTACTCAGTCTTGGTACAAGGACAATTTCTCTCTTGGGGCACACGGTACTTCTTTCTCTCTCTCTTCTCCCTGTTGTCAAATCCGTAGCAGAACTCCTTATTACTACACAGCATTTTGCCTTAGGTTTACTTGGCTCTTTAGCCTCCACATGGTTCGTATGTAAATCACTGTGTGCAGTAATGCTACATTAACACAACTTCTATGTGTGTGTTATTTCAAATGACAGTGTGTTGCTGTTTAATATCTTCCACCCCCATTCCTCTTAATATATTTCAAAGCACACAAAAAAATGTACTGAGAGATCAGGAAGGACAAATATTATCCAGAAGATTTGTTAGCGACATCTGTTTAAAACTTCACTTTATGGTTCCCAGCTCACCCTTAGATAATTGGTAGCATCCTTTCATTAGGCTTTGGATGACAATGTACATTCAGCCAATAAAAAGCCTATGAACTAACCCATATAAAATTACAACTGTGGGAGGTCCACCCTTCTAAGGATCATGGCGAGGATTTTCCAAAGGGACACTGGGTATCTCAAATATTGGTGCCAATATGTGGCACTGTCAAGGAGGCTGATCTACAGAAGGTCCTGGATGCCCACTCCATAGAAATCAGACCCCTTCCAGGTGTTTCAGGAGGCACTCATCCACTATCACTTCTGAAAACCTTGGCTAGCCACTTACAACACTAATCTGAAAACAAGGGACAGTGTCAAATTCTACACTGCTTCCTTATCTTTAACATTACGAAGTGTAATTCCATCCCGATTGAAAACAACGGCAAAACTCTCTCCAACTTCAATGAGGCCAGAATTTCACCCATGGTCTTGAACACACACACACACACACACACAAAAAGTAACCAAATCATTAGGGCCCAGTCCTGCAGCTGTGTGACTCCCATTGAATTTAATGAGACTTACTTAATATGCTGGTAACGTGTATTTGCATGAGCCTTACAAAGACTATTTATTGCTCTAGCACCCAAGCCATTCATGATTTCAGTACAGCATTAACGCCAACCGTTTGTCGTTCTTTATGAAATCCACATTAAAATTCCCCTATTCCCCCTATTCATTTGTCCATGCAAACACATTGGGTGACAAAGAGCAAGCAAGCTTTTCTGCAAACTGAATATTTACATTTTTAATTCTTGATATTCCATTCCCCCCACTCTTGCTCCAGTTCTTCTCCTCAGCACCAGTGCACTAAATAAATTAACAAGTTAGCAACAAGACTGCAACACCACTACAGGCTTCCCCCTTACAGAGCCTGTCATTGCCACTCAAGAATCTGTTGGAATGTGACAGCTTCACAGTAGAAGGTCACTTCCTCCAGTCACTTTCTCCCTGCTGCTTGGAGGCAACCGTTCTGAGAAATGATTTGTTATGGTAGAATAAGAGGCATGTTTGTTAGTTAATTCATTCTGTAAAACTCAAATGAGATGAAAAACAAGCACAGATCTGACAAATGGCATTTAATTATGTCTGAGCCTAAAATTCATAATACATATTTATGCTGCCCTAAGTCATTCACAGCAATTGTCCCTTTTATTCTCTCAACTCAGTCCAATTGCTGACATGCGGTGAGGGTGTTAGTGATGGGCAAGTCAGAGATATTCTATATTTCTTCATTGTGGCACCTCTTTCTTTACCCCTTAACTTCACAGCCCCCTGTCCTCAACACGTCACATGATTTCACAGGTTATATTTGCATGAGGTATTAACATTCTATGTCCTGTGAGAAGAATATAAATAATAATGTATCTATATATAATACTTTTAATCCTGAATGATCCCAAAGTTTGTCTAAACTATGCTCCAAATTATGTCCAAAATTTACCTTTACTATGTATGGTCTGTATCTGTGTTACATATGCTGTGCTCATCTGGATATCAACGGAGAGAGTGCTAAGTGTAGAATATGCAAAAATATGCAATAGCGTGATCTGTGCTGCAAGTTGCACAGAGGAATTTTGCAATAAATATCAAGATAGCTTCTTTCCCCCCTCCCCAATGAAATCAGCCACCTCTGGGGTGAAACGTGGCTGTTGCTTAACAGCATGCCAGTGGTAATGTCTTACCTTCATTTTGCACAGGTGTAAATGAATATACCAGGTGCAGGGTAATTGGGATTCAGGTGCTTTACTTTGCATGTGATCCAACAAAACACTTGTATGTTCTTAAGGTACTTACTTAAATTGGGCCAAATCTAGTCCTGTCCTTAACTTCTAAAGGTAATAAATACGGCAAACTCTGTGCATTCAGCATAAAGGATTAGAATGTATGTGTCAAATTCACCTCTTGTGTAACTCCACTGAAGAATTACTTACTACTTACAGGTGGCTTATTTCAAACTTTGTATGACTTCAGTGTTTAGGTCTTGTCTGAAGAAGGCATAGCACACCCTAGTACCAGGCTGGGCATGTATTGACTGATTTTAAAGAAAGAAGAGATTACACCTACTGAATCACCCAGTTTACTGGACCTTCACTCTCTACAGCACCTAGAAGTTCCTTGAAGATGTTATGTCTAAGGGCCTGATCCAAAGCCCATTAGATCCTTTCACTTTCTTCAATGGGCTTTGATTTGGGCCCCAAGTACAGGTGTACATCTGACTCTGCTTGGCTTCCTTTGCTAGATCTGCTAAGGTCACAATCCGGGGTGGCAAGATAGAGCCAACATCTTGCCATGGGAGTCTCTGGGGAGCCACAAATTCAGGAGGCAATTGACCCCAGAGCTGAAAGTATTACTACTTGCTCTACCACCATCTCTTTTCCTTTGAGATTTTGTGTAAGCTGGGATAGTACTTTTCATGCTTTTTGACATCATAGCCCTGCTAAGACGCTAGAGACACTACCTTTCCTCCTCCTTTCTCTTGGCATATTGCCATCAGAACACACTTTGCAACTCAGTTTTTGTTCTCTGGTGGGAAATTTCATTTGACCCTTTCAAGTGGGGCAAGAATATATATTAGATTTGTTGATGCCAAAGTGCTTTTATCTGAGTTCAACAAAAGAGGTACGTTGAAAAGATTGCAGCCGCTCAGCGAAAATGCTGTACCTATTACAGAGTTCATATGCATTTACAAGTGGCAACTCAGTGAAGGTTCTCCTCACCCTAACAGATGTGCACCTAATTCACAGTCAACTTGTAAATCTTTCCGTCAGCTTTGCATGCTTTTCATACCTTTGGGAAAATGTGGTGTTTGACTGTCCTGCCAGCTCTTGCAATGACAGAAATGCTATTAGCAGGAATGATCTCATAGTGGTGCTTTATCTTTTTAAAGTCTTCTTCTGGGT